CAAGCCAGTTCTTTATCCATTTTCTAAGTATATACCGCCTAATTTAGGTTTCAAACGATCAGTTGAGATTACAGAGATTTGTTCAGCTACCAAAGCATGCTCCTCATCTTGGACTGAGATAAAGAACAGCATCACTCCCACCAGTTCTCTATGAAAAGGAGAAACACACATCAAACTTGAGTGGGCCACGTGTACACAGCACAAAAGAGAAGCTAATAATGTATTAAATAATTTTTCTTTCATAGTTCAAACATTTCTAAACAGGAATGTGATAACGCAGAAAAAACATGACTTCTACCCCTTGAAAACCCAAGACTGGTTTAGATACACTTTAGAAATAAATGCAAGACAACAAAGGCCTGATTATGTCAGTAAGAAAAGAAAGAGATCACATACATTAAAGGACAACACATGTTTGCAGGACTTTTTTAATAAAAACAACTCAACACGGCCACTTAACTTTTGGTAAGGCCTACAACATAAATGAGCATTACATTCTTTTTCCATAATATTTTCAGTAAAATAATGACTTCATTATATTTTTATAATATATATAAGAAGCCTTAAAAATGGCTATGAATTTTTACTGCTTATTTTCCTGACTCATGTATCAGAAATACCTAGTCTAGTCCTCACCAGTTATAAAGGACGGCTGTGAAAATTTCAGGATATGGCTGCTTATGTCTCTCTACAACTGATGAAAAGCAGCTGTGTTGAATCTAACCCCCCTCCTTCATCAGAACCATTATATACTGAAGTTATAGATATTCTTTGAACCATGGAAAAAAAAAAAAAAATACAGCTCTCCCCCTAAAAATAGTTGAGATTTCATTTGTTTGATCCCAAGTCATCACTAGGGCCTCAAACTCTCAGTGTTTCAAAGCTGGAAGCTTTTATTTTTCTACAGAAAAGGCAAGATGAAAGAAACCACCCACTTGAAAATCCTCTATCCATGATAAAAACAGCCATAACTGCACTAAAGCAAGAACAGTAGTGAAAAAGTTACGTCAATTCTGACCAAAGAATTTTAACAATTCTTGCAAAGGAAGAGAGGCCAGTATTGCTATACAGTCTGCCTTTATTGCTTCCCTAATACAGTCAGACATCCATAACACTGGTCAAAACTAGTGGAACACAGATGTACCCATCCCAAAAAAGTGTTGTGGCTAAGAAATAACTGGTTTGTGGTCAAAAATTGGCTAACTGAATTCTGAACAACAAGTGAAATCACAGCACAAGCAATAGACAGAAAAGTATGTTTACCTTCCTGATTTGGTACGTCAACACAAAACCAGAAATGGTGGGAAGAGGGATGTAAAGGTTGTTGTGAATACCTACCAGCTGTTACCGGAACAAGATTTTGCCACAAATTCGCTATTACAACTCCACCCATGAAGCCATCTAGAGGCAACTGAAGTTTCTTATGCTACCTGTTCAAGCATTTCCCTCTCAGCAGAAACATTATACCAAATTACACTTGTAATTGGTAGTTACATTTCTCCCAACTATCACAACTGGATTTAGAAAAAAAAACCCCACACCTTAAGTTTAATACATATCTTGCAAGTATTGGTAGCATTCATTAAACAAAAAGTACTCCCTCTATTTAAGAGCCAAAGAAAATTGTTTCAAGTTTCTCAGGAAAAAAAAAGCCTGCAGATGTATCATTACTTACAAGGCAGTTATCACAAATGCTACTTTCTTTTCTTTTTTTGTGGTCATTCATTCTGTTTCACAAAGAGCTTTAAAATTATTACATCTCAAACGAAAGCCTATAAAAACATATTGAAAGATACAGCATGCTTAAAAAGAGTTTTCTTGGTTTCACAAGCTTTTCTTGTTTCTCTTTTATGAGGAGCTGAGAAATTAAAATTAGCATTTGAAAGTATTCAAAAGATAGTTTAAACTTCTCATTTAGGTGTCAGATTCCACAGGTGCAATTTGTCATTAAGTACAGTGAAACCTTCTTGAAATCAACCTTGCTAGGCAACCTCTGTTCTTAAAAGCAAACCAGTAAATTTCTGGTTTCCCCAAGACTGAAGATACCTTAGACAAACAACCAAAAGGTGAAGCCTAAGATGAGCATGGGAAGAACACATTGCATAGCTCTTCTCTCACCTTACATATTGCGGGTATCAAGGTTCTGTAACTTCTTGTTGAGAACCTTAACTCATACCATTTAATTGTGTCGTTGAACTCTTCTGAATTACTGTTCTCATAATTCATTATACCCATAACTCATATTAGAGGCCTTTGAATTTTTAAAGGTATTAATAAAAAGAGCATGTAAAGTGCTCTGCTGCAAACATTTTGTCTCAGTGCTCAAGTGACAGGATTTCTTTTTGCAATAGAAATTAGTAATTCTTGAAATAGAAAAAATTATGCTGGCACAGAATCTTGCTTCTCTTGAATAAACTACTTGCACAATAAATACTATTAGAGCAGGAGTATTTTTTTCTGCAGGATTATTAAAATTTCAGTTTAAATTTACTTATATTTCCCTAAAGCTTACATTGTTACATGGGTTTTATACCAAATCTGGCTTCCAGTGTACAAAAACTCTCTATTTACTGCTGATTCTCAAAAGTGAATTAAGAGTCAGTTTGATGACTAATACCTATACAAAAAAGAATCTCTCAAGAAGTACTTTGAGTTGAACCAGATAAAGTGCAATTTCTTACTTGGTAAGTTAGCAGGTATATGGCATCTCTTAAGATCTCACCAATCAAATGGCAAATTAATATAATCCCTCAATTTCTAACTCTCCCTTAATTAAATAAAAAATAGAAAGCAGAGCTTATAACAAGCACTCAATCCTAAAAATTATTACAGGAGTAACTTTTATCTTAAAGGCAGTACAACTGAAAAAAAAAAAATCTAAAATATTGGAAAACCCACAGACTCATTCAACACAAACATTAAACCCAAACTGATTTGGAACCTCACTGTCTAAAGCAAACACATGCCTCAAGGCTTGCATTCAAAGCATTGCCTGTTTCATTTAAATTTTCCTTATAAACACATGGGAAGATGTTGATTGAGTGTTTATTCTATGTTGAGGTACAAATTACTAAACATCTTCATTCTTACAGCTTTCATAAAACACATTTATCAATAAAAACATAAATGACAGCTTCAGGAGGTAAGGAAACCCACTGAAAGTAGCGTTACCACCCATTCCAGATAGCAGTTCCTGAAATACTTAGAAAGCTTCTCAACTTAGAAACTTCCAAGAAACATTAGAGAAACAAGACACTAAAGCAAAAAGAAGTTATATTTTGTGCTGCAATATAGATTCATGCTATTTGTGCAAGCTAAGAAAACTATTTTAGAATCTCCTGCTCTGAATTATTTTGTCAAATTTTTCAAGTCAATACTTATCTTTGTGAAAGCCACAGTGATATTAGCAATAATAATAATTAAAAAAACAGGTGGCGTGAAAAGTAAAATTCATCGTCCACTGGGCAACTTTTTGTACCTGTACTGTTTATCAGTGACAATCCTTAATCATTAACTAACTTTTTTACTTTGCAGTTCAAGATTGTTAACAGTGAACACCACTTACACCCCTGGTGTCTCCCAGATAAAGCCCAGCAGTTGCACAGTAGTACACTAGACAAAATTTACCTAGTTACTTTGTTTTGTTGCTAGTTTTGGTTTGTTAACAGAAAGTCATGACTCAATTTAGTTCCTTGAATAACTCACGCCACATTTGTATTATCACATAAATGGTGATTTAAAAGAAAGAAAAATATTCATGATGTTAGACTAAAATTCTTCAGAACAATGACATTTCATATCCTGTACTAAACTGTCTAACATTTGAAGAAATTGTTAGCATGCTAGACCTAAATATAGCTAACATATGACACATTATATTTACCATTCTGTAATCCCATCCACAGTTGCTTATGATCCTTTTTTTGCATCTCATTGATTACTTGACTTTTGTGCTTTAAAGCATCTGCTTCTTTTATACAAGCCATAAAATGAGCTTCAATCACATCCTTAGAATGGCAGTGTAGAAGATCCTTTTCTGGAAAATTCTACAAAGGAAAAATATAGATCAAGAGAAATAAACACACCACATACCTTAGAAGATGAAGAATAAATGATAATTTTAGTCAGGTTTATATTTACACAAAAGAAGCACACTGGAATCTCTACTTATGGAAGAAGGTAACAACCATTCTCTCACTCTGCAAGAAAGGTTTTGGAGTGAAAAATATTTCAGGAAAAATAAAAGTTGAACAATTTCCTGGTAAAACCAGAAAATCCCCAACTTCAGCTTCATAAATACATTTAAATACATTAGTGGACGTAGTTAGGCCTTGCATCCAAAATTCAGGAAATGAAGCGTTTAAACACATTTTCAAGCAGATCTTTAATTCTCTGGCAGTGAACAGGAGAAATGGGAGAGAAGTACCAAGCACCCAGTTTCTACTGACTCACAATGGCAATTTAACACCCATTTCTACACAGGCCTTTGAAACATGTTCCTTCCAAGTGTCATCATCCACGTATATGAACCATCACACATATGCCAGTTACGAACATTCTTCCTGAGAAATACTGGGAATCCTTTTCAGCTCCAACTTTCCCCAGTACATATGCTTACTGCTAGCCTGCTGTGTGACTTGATTCTATATGACTTTTATTTGGTTAGAGATGGCACACTGCATCCAGCATCGCAGACGCGCAGTTATCATTCCTCAGGTAACTTTTATCCCCTCAGTAAATTATAACTACCTTTTCTAATTCATTTATTAAGGAATTATAGCAGTAAATCTGATTTGGGTACACAATAGACTTCTTCAGAAATTAACTTATCAGAAGTTCAGCATTGTATAGGTAGGTACAACAGCTAGGGTTGTTCTTCCTCCAGTTTTTCTTTTTTCAGCACTCAGTATTGCTATTTTACAATAACACAAGCATGCACTATCACAAATTCATTGTCTTTAGTTTTCAAAGGTTTAAAAACCAAGCATGTTTTATCCTCTCTTTATTCATCATCTTCTCACGGTTGCTTCTGACCATGCAGAACAGTAGAAACTCCCAGAATCAAACCAGAGTGGCATCATCAGTACTCCCCTTCATAACGTGGGTTTGCCAAGTGTCTTTATACTTTAATTCTCATCCGTTATTCCACAAGAGGACCTCTCCTCTTAACCCAGTACAAACTGGTTATTTAAAAAAGCTTTTGTGAGGCACTGTCAAAATCGTTATGGAAATGCAAGTACATATAATGGGATATTTTTCAATGGCTTTTACAACATAGTTAACGTATCACAGTAGGAGCAATACGATGCTGGGAAAACCCATACCTTCCCTCCTCCACATAAGCCCAGGACACATACTGAAGACTGCTTCAAACTACAGGAACTCAAAATACCCACGAACCACTAACAGTTGGCAACATGAAAGAGAGCTGGGGGATGCCTCACCTGAAGGAAATTTTGAGGACAAGAGATAGTTCCCTCCTCATTAGGTTATTGAAAAGAGCTGGAAATTAAATAACAGAATTTCATATAGTGATTTCTTCTTACGACAGTGAACTCAGACTCTGGAAACTGTGTACCAAAAGGATGAGTATCCTCCAAAAGTGGAGTATAAAGGAAGGAAGAGAAGATTGCCAATATGTTTTCCACTGAAGCAGACATGGTTTGGTGTTGAACTCACAGGGGGAGTGCTGTTGTTACTTAGAACTGGTGTATATGGAGCTGACTAGAAATCTAAAGACAGAGGTAATGTCACATGAGGATGGCCAAAAACATTAAACTGAACAGAACAGAAAGGAAAGTTCTAGGGCAGACCTTGCTTCCTTTCTCCTCTACAAAGCTGAGCATCTCTGCATAACTGGGCCTGAGATGAATGGAAAATACCACTGGGATTGTTACTTGCCAGCTGACATCTGCATAGGCATTGTAAAATACTTTTAGAAGTTTAACTTACTTGCTCAAATAAAACAAGTAATGTCTGGTAACCAACCCAGAAGAAAAGAACAGTCAGAAATAGCACACTTGGATACAAAAAAAAAAAAGTTATTTACATGCAAGAATTCAAAGTGAGACATGGGCATCCCTCAAAAAAAGACAAAGATGAAACAGTGGAACGTACCTAATGCCAAGTAATATAGGAAGCCAGAAAATTACATTCACCATTAAAAGCTGAAGTTTTAGCTAAGTTTATGGAAACAGCTTTGTTACAACAACTGTTTTGTTACACATGTCTAAATATTGAACTGCAGGATCTTTTTTTATTGACATGTCTTTCCACAGACAGGCATCTACTTGATGACTTTCTTCCAATAAATTTCACATCACAAAGAATGTCACTCCCTGTGTAAGTGTTCTAGAGTACATACATTGTAGTCTAAGGAACAGCAAGGAGATATTTAGAACTGGTCAAAGCTAGCTAAGCTAGTGGAAGCTATCTAGCCACAGTAGCATAAAGCTATGTGGCATGACTGATTTTCCCAGCTTCTAAGGGGTAACATCGTGAAATACTGGAAAACACTCCTACAATCCCAGTGCTGTCTACTCTTCAGAAGGAAAACACAGACGTGTTTCTGTGCACTACTGTGAGCAGAAGCTGAAAAACCTGATATGAAAATGATAACTTAAACAACACAGCTGCATCTACAAGAAGCATATGAAACATTTACACCTACATGAGACTACCAACGGAAAATATGGCATCTCCACTGATTTATAAACTAGGGCACAGAACACTAAGCTTTATACTTAAATATGGGACATGTATGCTTAGGTGGCTTTTTGGTTTGTTTTTTTAATTCTTCTTGCCTTCTTACTACTTGAGGAAAAAGTGATCAAATGTAAATAACTTTATACAGTTCCCTGAAGATAGATACAATTGTCAGCAAGCTGGTAGCCACCCCTGGCTATACAGCTATGAGATCTGAAGATTTATTAGATCCCATGAGTAGCTTTAATTCAAGTACTCTTATTGGTAATGTCTTACTCCTTTCATGTTCTGTATCTTTGAAAGAAAAGTTATAGGGTTGACTTTTTTTTTAGAAAGCTCAAGTAGTCTACTGGTACGTGAAACAAAAGAGTACACTTGCTGCATAAATTTGGCCATAAAGAAGTAGGTATTATCTGTACAGACAGGAGCACTGCATGTCCTCTCACATAAGACTGTTCCAAAAACACCACAGGTGATTTCAACAGTCTGGTTTCATAACTCCATTCCACCCACATGTATCTATCAGTTCTAGTTCACAAAACGCCTGTTTGTATTGACAATCTAGTTGCATTAGGCTACATTTACAGAAAATTACACCAGTAATAAGGAACATACATAGTTGCAGGGGAAGCATACATGTATTTGAGCGTAGTTACCATCAGTGGTCTTCTTTTCAAGAAAGATTAATTTTAAAAGCCTCTCATTTAAACTCCTGGCTTCCACAATGACTCCTATCAGTACAATTTATCCATATGCTGCATAGAAAAGTACTTTTTCACTCCACCCGACCCAATTTTTAGCTAAAGAAGCCAAGAAAATGGCTGTTGTTACACAAAAACAGATTCAGTCTCTCCTCCCTTATACAGATCATGGGTGGAGAGACAGGCACCACCAGGCAGGGCTTCAGCAGAGGGAGAACGTTACCCTTTCCCCAGCACACCCAATTTCCTCCCCTCCAACAGTGCTACCTTTTCCAGAGCACCTCACCACCTCTTATTTCATTTTTTAACTTTGAACAAAGGAAATTGATGGGGGGAAAATAGTTTAAAAACACTCTTTATGAATGTTTGAGATATATGTTGTTGACTGCATGCTTTGGTAAAAGAAAGGAGAAGGCCATGACAGTGAAAGTTCAACCCCAGGAAAAAAACTAATACTGTTCAATTAAGCCAAATAAAAATTACAGCTCTTTGAAGAATAACTACACACAAATCAAATGAACAATCCAGGCGGGAATCTTACACCTAAACGATTTAGCTGTAAGAAACTGTAACACATGAAGATGTCTTCAATATTTTGACAGGCTTTGATACATTTCAGTTATGTTTTGACTTTAAGGATTAAGAGGAGTTTATTTAAATAAACTTTCAGATTACATCAAAAACAGGTGCTTAATCCAAGGTGTTATATTTTTAAAAACTAAATTACATCATCTTTTAAAATAATACTGCCTTATCAGTATATTATTTCTGCTCATCTTTAATGTACACCTTTGAGACAAAATTAGATTAGCTAATGTTTTGGCTAGAAGCAATACAAGAACATTAGAGTCAGTTTACATTGCTACATAAAATTGAAAAACACTGTGGTGCTGTAACATTTCTTAAGATGGCTCTACTTTGGGATGGCAACATCCAAACGCTGCCCCTGTCAATGTCTCAGAGTTCTCAGAGTGTGTAAAAAATCATGATTTATAAAACTAGACAAACTGCAGTTTCTTCAAAACACTCTAGAAGTTTCTTTATCCCAGTCCTCTCTAATACATAACAAACAGAAGTGTAGTCATTACAATGGTTTCAAAAACATCCCCACTTCAGATTCAGTCAGTCAGTCATTAAGTTTCAACATAAGAATGTATGATTTCATTGCACACTTCCAAAAAGAATCAGATGATTACTATTAGTAAAACCTCTTCTAAAACACCTTCAAGAGAAGAACTGAATGAAAACATTCAACACAACTGCTTCCCAGTATGCTTTTCATTTCATCTCAAATCTCACCCACTGAAGTCAAGCCTATTAACCTCACATTTTCCTTTGGACCAGTTTTCCTACTGCATTGTTTCTTCTACAGTGGAGAAATTAAAGTTCCAGTTAAATGCCACAATTTCTAGTTGTGATTTTGACTTCAAAACGTACCTGGGATTACCGTCACAATGCATTTCAGAGCATGAAAGAATCCCACACCAAAGCTAACCCTGCGCAAGCACTCTTCTGAGCAAAGATCAGTAGTGCTATGTGGTCATACCTAGTGGTTTTACAATGTGTAATCAAAATAATGTCCCTCTTCTGACTAAGCTGTCATAAGACCAAACCCGTTTCACTCAGTTCTCTAGAAGGGACCCACATGAAGTACAACATCATTCCATGACTTCAAGAATGTCTACAGGCTGTCACGTACCTGAAAGGATGAGCACTTCTCAATCTTCTGTGAATTCAAGATAACAGAACTAGAAACATTTTAGAAAGTTCTTCCCTTACAGCCACTTGCACTGACAGACTCATAATCTAGCTTGAAAAATACTTTTGGATTTTCACAGTACAACAGAATCATTTTCAAAGGCAAGTAACTTGAAAGCACATATGATCTAATGGAAAACAGCTGTAGATTTAGAGAAAGCTTTAGATTACTCCAGAAGAATGAACATTCTCCCCTTCTAGTCAAACCATCCACTTCTAAACTATGAAAGCTTCCTAGCTTCCAAATTTCATGAAATCCCACACTCATTCTTAATTAAAGGTGTCTTTCAATTTTACCTTGAAATGCACTGTGATGCTCCAAGGCAGTGCTGTATTTGATGCGTGGAGATCAAACAGCAAACCAATTGGGTAATGCCTACAAATGAAGAGATAATAAATGAACATACAAGCTATGCATTTAATTCTACATGTAATAGTTAACATACCTGCATTTAGATGAAAAAAAAAAGCTGTTTGATTCTTACAATTACCATTCATTAATGCTTATTCAGAAGAGTTATACAGGCAGGTATAAATGACTGACAGCTTCTGGCAGAATCAAGTCTGGAATTTACAAGTTCAGTACCTAAACCAGTGGTTTCCAGGCTGTGCCCATAAAACACTGCTAGTTCTGCAACACCATAAGTGAACTACAGCTGCTCTGTGGAATCCTTCAAAACAGTATTTTTAGTTAAAAAGCCTGATAATGGTAGGAATAGCTGGTCGGACAGAAACTTACGCTTTTCTGCTTTCAGATATTTAAATGCCCTGTGTTTATAACACATTGACCCTTAACATCTCTTCCCTCTCCCACCTGCCTGATGTCATTGTGGAGAATAACTAGTAAAGTGAAAAAATGACATATCTGTAAAAGGGCTGAAAGAGGATACATCAGGATGAACTCTGTGTGTTTACTGTCAAATTAAGAAGAATGGAAGGAAAGGGGAAAAAAAAAGATTAATCTGGAATTTTGTATGTCAGTGGTATTCTAGATTAAAGGAGTTACACAAAGAAGCTACTTCCTCCAAATATTCACTTTTGACTTACAGTTTGGTGTCCTTTAAATTAATTAGAAGATATAGCCTCCAGCAATATAAGGAATATTTATCACATACTCAAAACTTTCACTCTAAAGATGTCTTTCTGCAATCTTCTCACAACCAGACACTGGCAAGATTTTTGGAAAAAAATTTTTTTTTTTTTAATTTTTTTTTGCATTCATCTTACCAAGCTCCACTCTCTTATCTTTCAAAAATCTTAACAAAAACAGCCATACCAGCTTTTCATCCTGCAAAGAGATGAATGTAACACTTCCCTGTGAACTCAGTAGCTTCACCGAACGAAATGGGACTGATCACAGGACACAGGGCCAGGCACGTACATAAGTTTTGAAAGTCCAAGAGCAATAACCGAGAGCATTGCACTAAAAGCACCTGTGCCAAGCAAATTTCCTGTCCTGGTAAACACTCACACAGCAGCTCTTTAGCACCCTCTACAGGTGAGCTAACTCCAAAGCTGAGACAAAGTCACCACAACAGTAGAATTAAAAACCAAACGCAACACAGTATAATTTGTGAGTTTACTTATTGCATTTGTTACTTCTTTAAAGAAAGGCTAGGGGAAAATATCAAGAAAGTATCTAGAACTCTTCTCCTGGTAAAGGGAGTAAAGAATACAGGTAATGTGTGTCCAAATTTATCTCAGTTCACTGCTAGTACTCACGTTCTTACCACTATGACTTTTTACTACTGTCAATCATGTCTCGAGGACTTCAACAAGAGCTCTATGAGAGTGGTTTTCCACGTAAGCTAACAAAAAACAGACTTCTTTTGATAATTAGATGAACATGAACAATTACTTCAAATTATTTTCGATTTATGCAAAACAGACAGATACAAAAAAAATTTTTCAAAAAAGTTTCAGTTCTTGGCCTACCTCTCGATCTTCCACCCAGTTTAGGTCACAAAACGAAGTTCACGTACTGAAGCTTTCTTTAGTAAAATCCTTGTGCTTTGCAGAGTTGACAGATAGTTTTTATTTTGAAAGAGACCAGCCCTAACTTCATTTTGCTCCACAGCAGCACGCATGAGATTAATGAAGGCAGTAGACCAAAGAAGTGCAGCCTTCCATTAAGAGTCAAGTTCGCCACAGGAGTGAAGCAATCCTGAGATGTAAGACATGTTCTGCTTCACATTCCAGCTCTCACACACTGGCATTTAACCTGATGCCAATAAAAGCCTCAGGTAATGCCTGTACATAATCCTGTCTTTCACTTTTTGAGACATAATTACAAGCATTTTTTAATAGTCTGTATACAATAGCACTCCATATAACAATCCTAAAGCTATTCTTTATATTTCCCCTCATAATAAAAGCTGGTTTCTTAACCAGGATAGAGAATTAAGAGATGCACAAAGATACAAGCTGAGAAGAGAACTTAATCTATACATGGAATAAAAAACTCTCACTCTATTGTTAAGTATGAATCTACCTTGTGCTATGAATCAGTATTCTCCCATTGAAGATCTTGGTTCCAGTGGTACTGCTGCAATGCTGTTTCTCAACTTTTATTTGAAAAATTAATGAAATACACAAGTGCTCTCTAGAATCTTCAGTAAGGAGGAGAATTTTAAAAAAAAAAAAAAAAATTCACAAAAAAAGCCTTTAAAGATTTGCACTCGCACCCAAAAAAACCCAGCCAATCCAACAAACAAAAACCCCAAACAATAACAACAAACCTCACAAACAAAACAACAGCTAAGGGAGCTATCCAGCCCAGCATGGTAAAAAATGAAAAAAAATTTCAAAAATTTTTCAAAAATATTATTGTACTGTTGAAATCAAGCTGGTCTGAATTAAAGTGGGAGCCAAGAACAGGCAGACTGTACAGAACTTTCTCGAAGGAAATAATGGTAAAAATATCAAAGAGAAAATGTCTAAGAGATCATATCTTTTTTACAAGTTGCTAGAATAATGATTGGTTCTGGAAAGTGTTCAATGTATAGATAGGTAGCAGCACCATGTCTTCTAGCCATTATCAATTTATTACTGCTTTTATTATTACACAGAAGGTGGTTTCAGAGTGTGAGAGAAGTCCTGGAAAACACTGCATTAAGTACTAAAAATCCATTCAAAAGTGACTGATGGACAGTAAGGAAAGTTAATTACTACTTTTTAAATAATTTCTTTCTGAACCCAGAACAGAAAGTGTCAGCATGAGTTGGTAGGTTGCTTTCAGAACAGAATAATTTACTGTGGTAATTCAGTAAGACATGCCACATGAACTGACAAATCCAGGACCAAAAACTGCTATGCTCCCACACTGTCTGGGGTACTAAGTGTGTCAAGTGGCCAGGTATTTCTATGAACAGATGTCTCATTGAGGAAAATTTTGGCTGCACCAGCAAATAGTCTCACCTCTTCCTTTAGTATTCAGAAAGAAACAGCTTTTTCTTAGCTCTTTTAATCAAAGACTATCATTTTCAAACAATACGTCAGCCTCATCAAAGGGTGCTTTTACCTTTGGTCTTCCAGATAAGGAAGGGTCAAGCATCCAACCAGTTGGTACTAGAGAGACACCTATGCAACTCCCAGGACTAGAGCACAGTCCACAGAAATGGAACAGAAGTTCTGCTGAAGGCCATGTCCAAGTGTTCAAATAGGATGGTAACAAGCAATAGGGTTATCTGCTGAAGAAACTACCCCTGGCACATCAGAGGCCTTCACGCAGGCAGAACTCAGAGGATGCAGCTCTCCAGGTCTCAAGCTGCCAGGAGAGTCTGAGACTTCTCCTGAGGGCTGGGGCAAGCAGAGGAAATGTTCTTGCCTGGAAGGGGTGTGTGTTAGTGGAGAAGCTATGTCACCAAGTTAAGGAACTGCAGGAGGCTGGTGGGCTGCACAGCATCAGGGAAGAGGTAAAAAAAAACACTGATGGTTTCTCCACTGAGACTTGCAGAGATGAGAGCCTGAACTCTCAGCTGCAGAGAAAGCAACTGCAGTCATTGGACTGGTGAACGAAGACTTGTAAGTTAGCGCAGATCATAATCTTGCAACCTCTGGCAAGAGAAGGCAGGCTCCTTCTCCACCTGCAGTCAGTGCTTCAATGTCAGAGAAGGGGCCGGAAGTTCTGAGGAAGCACTAGAGCAGCCTGAACAGCACATCCACATGAAAAGGAAGCAGTCAGAGCAGCAGAAGACTCCCTCCTACAGGGGATAGAGCCCTCCCCCATCTGCAAGTTTCGTTTGACACCTGCAGAGGTTTGCTGCTTGTTAAGAACTTGCAGACATGCTGGTAAGGTTTGTCCTGTGCTTGGACTATTATCCCTTGCTGTCCAACCACACAGGCGCAAGTCCTAGGTGCTTCAAGGGAACCCTTGATTGTATCAAGAGTGACTATACAGCTCCAGGGGCAAGGTGGCACCTCCACAACTTCACCACTGAAGGAGAAAGGCTCAGCGAGGCCTGAATGCTGGCCAATAACTGGTTGTGCAGCTGGTGTGACAAGGACTTGGCTTTTAGTCACAGGACACTCTTTGGGGATAAACAACTGCTGGGGAGAGACAAATTGCACCTAAGTGGGACAACAGTAACTTTGCCTTCAGGCTGGCCAGCCTGATGAGGAGAGCTTTAGACCACAGACAACAGGGGTGTGAACTGCAACACATAGTCAAGCAGAAATTAATGGGCATGGGTGGAAAGCAAGTGGTGAAAGGTGACAGCTACAAAGGGACATCTCAAGATGATAAAAGAGGGTAGAAGAGAGTCTACTATGAGTGTACATACATAAATGCACACAGCTTGGGAAACAAGCAGGAGAAACTGGAGCTCCACATGCAGAGACATAACTATGACAGTGTTGGGCTACTCAAGATACGGCGAGACAGCACAACTGGAATGCTCCTGTGGGTGGATGGATGCAACCTGCTCAGGAAAGACAGGGAGGGCAGATGAGGGAAGAGAGTTGTCTTCCATGTGAGGCAGCAGCTTAGATGTATGAAACTTAACAGGACACGTAACAGCTTGGTTGAGATCTTGTGGTTCAGGATCAGAGGAGAGACTTGTAAGAGCAACATCATGGTCAGTTTGTTACAGATCAGGCAATCCAAGTGAGGAAGCAGATAAAAGTCTTTAAATAACTCAAGGAGTTCCTGCATCACAGACCCTGGTTCTTGTTAATCTCTGACATCCGCTGTAAAAGCAACATGGGGGACACAAGTGGTCAAGACTTCTTCATACAGGCATTGGATGGACCAGAGCTGATCCACAGCTGTTACTAACAGGACAAAATAGTTCTGGATGTGATAATCAGTGGCAGCTTTGGCTGCAGCGACCATGAAACAGCAGTGTTCAAGATCCTAGAGAGATTGGTAAAGAAGAATAAGCAGAATGCAGATCTTTAACTTCACTTTTCACATCTTCCTGGTCCCCCTACACAGTTCAGGTTCAGCCACCTCAGATGCATCACTAGACAGAGCATTCAGTCCCTCACCTGCAGCCAGAACACTGAACCTATCCTGTAGTTACAGAAGTGCAGGTGGAGAAAAAGCTTTCCTCCTACTGCCAGAAGTCACAAGCTTCCAGGCCTTCCATATCTTAGGAGACCATTTTCGAATCCAAGAATCACAGGCTCTGCCTGCATCTCCTTCAGTGTACTTGTAGGTTTAGGCTCCTGTAGCTGCAGAGTCTCTGAGAAGATTTAATCTATTTCCTTTCATAGTTTCTGATGACCTCCTCCTGTAATTCCTGAATTGGTGACACATTGCAACATACAACAAGGAGACATCTATCTTCCTGTGCCTTAACAACACCAGTGGGAGGCCCCAGGACCCTGTAACTCCAAATCTGGAGAACTTCATTCTCATTCAGAAGCCTGGCCTGAGTGCTGCATACCATGAAGTTGAAATCATGTTTCATACTTCCTCCAAAACCTCACTGGAAAACAGAACTGCAGCTGAAAAAAAGATACACTACATCCCAACCAGGTATGAAACCACACAGACTGCAAGAAGTGTGACCTCACAGTGCAAAATAAATACTTGCAAAGAAGCAATATTATTACCAAGCTTTATTTGATTCTAAAAGCAGAAGTTATACTTAAGAAGATCAAGCATTAATGCTCACTAGTCTTTTTCTACAAACTAACACTTCAATCTAATCCTCAGTTCTGGTATTTGGGTTTTTCCTGCAAACAAAGCTATTCAGTGGATCACCATTTTCCTAAAATAATGGTTTGCAGATACATTTTCCATTGAAATCAGTGGAGCTGTTTCTGGCAGAATATGCTTAAATTTTCTGATCAGAGCCTTAATTAGCAGATCATAATCACACTATTCATCTTAATTTCAATGTTTGATGAGTTTACTAACTCTTTATTTCATTTTAGAAATATAATTTACATTTTTACTCCATACCTATATTCTATAGCTATTTTTTTTTTAATTCTAGTTTAAACATCATGGTATTTTAAAACTTACAGGAAAACAGGAAATACAGATCTATTTTTGGTTGAGATAAAAAGCCCCTCTAGCCTTTCTTGTTATAATTGCAGTGAAAATGTAGTTTCCTCTCTTTTATCTACATAAAATTATAAACACACTGGGAGAAACTTGGTATCTTGCTGTGTATTTAGATGGTATCTTTGACTCAAGGTCACTATGGCACACAAAGAAAACTATTATTGTTAAATTTCAGATAACTTAAACAGATATTTAAAGCTGGGTTTGCCAGTCAGTTTTGAAAGTGAAAAAAAGCTAGGTTTTATGCTTTTCTGTTTACAATATTTTCAAGTTTTACGTTAGGTTGGTCTCACAGAAACAAAAGGTCCAGAAGAGATCTACTGCATCACAAAGCCTAAAATGACTCCATGATGTGATGCTTGCTAAATCACACGATAACCTAGGTTCAAGAAGCTAAAACAGACACTGGTATTTTTCTTTCCTATTACAACACAGGAAATAAAAAGATATAAAATCTCTTCAGCATTCAAAATACTAAATACTTTCTGAAGAGCTGATGCTATCCATACAGAGCTAGCAAAGACTGCAGCTCTCAGAATGTTTTCTTTAAAATTCTTTATAGGAGTAAAAGAAAGAAACAAAATCTGATGAACAGCATGTATGAAAACGAAGTAAATGAGACAATGTCAGTTTGATTCTCCAGCCTCTCAGAAAGAAAAAAAGATAACTTTTAACAGGCTATAACAGAAGAAAACTGCAATTAGTTCAATAAAGTTGAACTAACTGAATTCAACAAGAGCCTGTTCATGAGAGATTGTGTTTTACAGTGCAAACACACCAGTCAAAAGTGAAGGTTACCCACATTTTATATCTTTAAACACATATCCTATTTGCACTCAGACTTAAAAAAAAAAAATGATATTTCCTACCTGTGTTATTAAGCATCTTTTAAGATGGCAGAGTAAGCTAAACAAAGATTTACTTGCCAATTCTACTGCAAGAAACACTAAAGGTAAAATCACAGGCATTTCTATTACAGTAACAGCTAGAATATAAATAACAGGTGCAGCACCATCTCTACCTTATACATACACTAAGTATAAGCAGAATAATAAAAAAATATGTACAACATTAAACTTTCTTCCAATTTTCCCAAACAACATGCTTTTCTTCCTCTCCTACTCTTTTGCCATCTTTGAAACCAAACAGAGCGTATAGTTCAGGAAAAGTACTGACACTGTGCTAAACTTGCTAACTCTTTACGTGATAAAGTGAGTAGAGGTACAAAGTTAATAAACTCACCATTTCAGTGGTGTACCTTCATATTCAAACCATATTTCACTAACTTCCTCTTGTCTCATAACTTTCTGAAAGTGTTTCTTCACTTTGTCTGTTACCAGGGTCAAGTAGCTTATCCTTGGCAAAAGCAACTGAAAGAAAAAAAGGATATAAGTTCTAAGTATACATAAAATTTACTAACTTAGTAAAAGTCTGTAGCAAGTACACATTTTCATAACCAAAATTCAGACCCCATTCTTCTCTCCCCTCCCCCCAGTTTAAGGTAAGATGTCTTTTATACGGTTTACTTACCAATGGTCAATGAAAGGCTATAAAATTACTGAGAAGATGCAGAATAGCAATATTCAATACACTAACAGACAAAAAAGTAAAAAAAGATGTTCTTGATTCCTTTGATGTGGTGGGAGGGAATTTAATGCCTACTTTTCTGCATGTAAGCAGGCCAAAGAATTAAGTTTATAACATTTTTCATATAAAAAGATAGGAACATGCTTTAGCTTCTTATCAACTATAGTGAGCAACAGTTTATCAGCTATTATTTCAAAATGGAAATATCTACAAAATTTTTTTAAAAAAGAATGAAAAATAACTGATTAAGGATTTGGTTTCCAATTTTATTTCCAATAGCTGGCAATTTCCATTTTCTTTGCATTGGGTTTACCAGTTCAACGTATTAGTCAAGGCTATTACGATTCTTCCACTCTTCAACCTTTGTCCAGCTAATTAAGTTAGAAAGAAAATGGTCAATATTTGACCAGTTGAAACAAGACACCTTCTTACAGCTTTCTAGTATGCTATCTTTTTTTCCTCAGGTGTCATGTTACGCATTATCCAAAACAGAATGCTGTGTTACTTCTATTTGCAAGCCTTTACCCCTCCTTCTTTTTTTAAATCTTTTAAAAGTCTTATGCCTAGTACAAGTGGTTAAGCAGACTGCAGTCACTGTACTGACTGATGACTGCATAGCACATTTACTTAAGATAAATCAGTCAGTCAACTTTAATGAACAATACCTTTCAGTATCCCAATGAGAAAAGATTAACCCTGCCTGTAAAATAACATTTAGCTTTAAAGCAGACATTCTAAATAAATTGTATTCATCCTATAGAGTTACTTTAATTTCCTTAACTATTAATAAAATAGATGGGTTTAAGGAATAAACAGAAATAAATTAAATTGGGCATATTCAGAGAAAGAGAAACATTATTTCCAGCATTGTTTCTTAAAATATTTTCTTCGTAGTATATGGATAATGCTAGGCCTAAAGTGAACATCTATAGTACAGATATCTCAAACTATGTAAGGATATATTTTGCCTAATAGAAAACTTGACTTCTGCTGTAACACTCTTCCAGAATCTCTCCAACAATTAGACCACACTTTCATATATAAACTAGGTAATATTTTGGTTATGACACTGGAATTAATTTTTAAGTATCAGATTCACAAAGAAGTAAAGAGAGTAAAACAAGAGTAAGTTCTTACAAGAGAGAATGCAATTGTCTTTTAGATAATGTTGCATTAGCTATTAATATGCAAATATCTGTGAAACAACTGAATTTTAGGATTATACATAACTACAAAAGATTAAGACTCACCACTATGACAGTCATCAAGTCAGTCAACACTTGATCTTTAGGTACCATACGGTTTCCTTTTTCCATCTGTTGCTCTTATCACCATCATCATACTGTTTCTACCCCCCTTCAGCGCCATGTAGTTCAGCAAGATAATTAAACACAGTCTTCAGTTTTAAAAGGTGAACAATCTCAACAAAGTCATATGCACAGTCAAGTGAGAATTGTTTGGTGCCTCAATGACTTGAACGACTATGTAATCTTAACCTTTATTAACCTAATTCCAAATATCTACACTAATTGCTCTTGAGACAACATAGGCCAGGCTACTCCCATCAAACCCAAATATAGTTGGTAATAATTCCGTATTATTTCTGTGTGATATTTACAGTCCAATTAATGCTCTGATATGAGACCCATTTGTACTGCCACAAAAGGCAATTTTGAGGTTGCTACACGTGGCACAGCCATGCAGGAAACGATAAATATATTAAAGCATTATTGATTTAAACAGTACTTGACATAACCCTTTAAACTGCATAACTAACTTGCCCCGTAAAATATTTTACTTCAGTTTGTAGTGTGGAAGAACAACAGAGCTTCAGTACAAACACAATCAGAGCTCACAGATAATAACCAAATAACATTTAACTGAATATAACAGAATGTGACCAGCACTCCCAGTGAGCCTCTCTGGACTACAAAGCCCGGAAGTTAACCAGGTTAACAGGGACTGCCTGTTTTTTGAGAGATGCTGAGCATATGCAGCACCTACTGAATTCTTTTTTTCTGTCTTCCCACCTCTTCTACCTTGCAATAGCCTTCCCCTTCCATGGGAGACACTGAAGGATCAAATTCTACTATTTTTCTAGCTTCAAATAACCTAGAGATTTACAAATATACTAAACCTGTTAAGTGAAACCTTTAAAAGCATAGTTTAAAGACATTTTCATTGTGTTACCCCTTTTAATACCAGTTCTCCACCAGTCACCTACATGCAGTGAAAGACACCAGCTAATACAAAATAGTTTTACTGCAAAAATCCTGTAATTTTTTAATGTTTTTACTATTTCCAGAGGAAAGGTACTAGAAAATATGTAGGAAAAAAAATTCTTATCTGACAGCAGATTTGCATCAAGTGTTTTATAGAGGCCTCTGTATGAGAACTGGAATTCTACAGAGCAGTTCACCTTCTAAACTATTAGATACTCATGAACTTCTCAGGCATTTTAGCCACGCAGCTAGGAGCCTCCTTTTTAGGCAAAGCCAGCTTCACCAGAATGACCCTTCTCCCACAGACAATTTTCCTGCTGACTCCTAAACCAGGTCACGTGGGCCAGAGAAGCTACACCCCTCCCTTCAGCCTCTGGTCACCCTGCAGCAATACTTCTAGACGCAGGGAACTAACTGCCATGATTCAGTGATAACAGTAATTCTTGGTTTAGGGCTGTAATACCTAATTAAGAAAAAGCCACATGATCATGTGACAAGGCATACTAATCCAAGTTAAACTCATTCCAATAGGTCAGATTTGCTCAATTACCTTTTTTTTCTACCTTGCCTTTTTTTTCCCCCTTTAGACAAATAACTTCTTTGTACTAAAGGTTAGAACAATGCTATGAAAATTGAACACATCTAACACTACAAGTAGCGTAGCAACTGCAACCTGAATTAAGACTGTTGAATCACTACATGATACATTAGGATGCCCATCATAAATTAAACCACCTGTAGTAGTGCATAGGTAAATACACAGACAAGGCAGTATCAAAGTTTTTAATGAACAGACTGAGCCCATATTTAGCATAGATTCAATAGTTATCAATTTAAATAGTGTATGAGAGAAAATAACGAACATGTTATATCATGTACTTTCTTACAAGGAATTAAACAGAAGAGAACTCCAGTTTTGATTCAAGTTGTCTGACAACTAACTCTGCCATGCTGCCCAACACCAGACAAGTATAACCTGTGCCACTCACTATGCTGAGTAACAAACAAATCTGAAGGAAAAAGTTCACTTTCAACTGAGCTTTGTGGCTCAGAAGGAGCTACATCTCTCTTGTCCCCTAGAAAGGACAGGCTTGTAAGAAGATTCACGAGAAGTCTAATGCAGTTGGTGGGTGAATTGCTTTTAAGTGTCAAGACTGAGTAAGGATTCCTGAAATGCTAAGTGAGGCTGGATGCCTTAAACTCCAGCAACCAGCTGTGTAAGTTTTCGGCCACTCAGTATCAAAACATAAAGCTGGCATCAACTCCCTCAAAGCAGTCAGAGTACATGGTATAAAGCCAGGTCGATGTTCGTGACCTGTTGGAATCATTGCAACAGTTAGGAAGACAAGATAAACAAATTGCTCAGTACTAACAATTAAAAAAAAATACCACCTGAGAACATGAAAAACCCCTAAAATTCATATTCACATCTGAATACTTCAGTCAATGCAAAAACTTAAGAGCAATGCTTACAATGGCAATACCTAATGTAATTATGTAATCCTTTTAAAATAAACAGGTACTAGTTCTTGATTAAAAATGAGACACAACAATAATTAGCTGCTTTTAATATCATTTCTATCCCTAGCTTTGAAAGAAATGGTGAAAAACACGCATGCAATTCTTATCCGCTCAGCTTAAACCAATATATCTACACAAAACTAATGGGTGGAGGGCGGGGCAAATAAATAAGATTAGGAGTTCTCCTAATTAAATTACAAAAACAAAAGTAAATCTCCAAATACTTTACCAGGAGGCAATGTAAATCCTAGAAGGCTATAACTTGCCATCCCCAAAATTACACAAACTGTTAACACCCATCTTTTACATACTGTATATTGTTAAAGTATTTAATCACAAAACCCAGGAATGTTTTCTCTAGAAGTTAAATGAAATATAAGGTACTCCTGATGCCTGAGGAAGCACTTGCAATATATCTTTTGTGTAAAAAATGTACCTCTCTAGCTATCTCCACAGGTTTTGTTGCAGAGCAAAACACTACTTTAGACGCAAAACAGATTATAAACTAGAAAAACTCTACATTTAACATGAACTGGACTAGTCTGATCACCCACACATCCAGGGTGGAGAAACAAAGCAGCCCAACATGGAATGGCTTCACGTTGTTCACTCTTACAGACATCTCAATAAAACAACCCTTTTGACTGTGAGGAAGCTTAAACCAAAATACCTACACAAATTAGAAGAGCAGCCCAGTAAAGGCTAGTCCCTGGGGCAGAGTATCATTCTAAAACTGCCTTCTGCTCCAGTTTTCATCTTTACACCTGACAAATCTCAGCCAGTGACTACTCTACTTCCTGTACGCATTTTATTTCAAACTGCTGTTTACACTAAGAGGCAGATAGTGCATAATCTTAAAATAAAAATCATAACTATTTTAGGACTAGGGAAAATTCAGGTAGTTCAACAAAAAAACTAGTTCAACTTAGCTGCTCCTAATTATGCTTCTACTCCAAATGCAAGCAGCTGTAAGAAACAGTCCAAAGAAACTTGGCGTATTCATTTCCAGTGTAACTGCATAGAAACCAACCTGGCTTGGCTACAGGAAGTAACAAGACAGTGTTTTATCTCAGCTGCTTAGTCTTGATGCCACTACTCTGTTCAAAAGAAAGACAAGGTCATTTTAAATGAGCTCTTCTACCTCCACACAGTGTTATAATTGGTATCTGGGATAACGGGTAAGAGGGATAGCACAAGCATCACTCGCGTGGTGTGCTAACAGATCAAACAGACAAGGGTTTCCTGTCACACACAAACTGAAATCCATCACACAGACTCTGGGTTGTTTTTCTAACCCACTCACCCTCCAGGTCTATGTCTTTCTCCACCTTCATGAAGCAAGTTCCTCAGAGCAGAAGCTTTCTTCCACCTCTTAACATAATGCCAACACCAGTATTTCCTTCCCATTTATGTATCTGTGTTCACAAGTACTGAGGTGCAGTAAGAGGAGACATAAAGCTGAATGACTAGTGCCAAGGGCTGGGAATATTCACTACATACACTTTTTTTACTTCAGCTAGGCTCCAGTTTGATCCCGTGCGCCAAATGCCCATTAGCAGCTGAAGCACATCATCTGCCTCAGCTTCACGGGAAAATGATTCAGCCTGGGGGCCCTAAGATTGCTGTGTGATGCAAACCTGGGCACAGTAAGTGGAAAGGATAAAGACTTGCTTCAAAAATGCACTCCAGATCTGAACAAAAAAACTAATGTACATGCGCTCTGAAACCATGAGAATTAAACTATTATTTAAAACCATGAGTGCTATTCTACCTTTTACTATTATAAATACTTGGTCCCTTCAAGAAGCAAAGCCATGTTACCAGCTCTAATGTGACCTGAAAAAGGAATAAACTAAAATTTTAGAATTGTGTTCTGTGAATAACCAGCTTTTGCAGAAATAGAGAGTTAAGCTATGAAAATTTTTGTGCACACTTCAAGCAGTGTAAGTAAAAGAAACCCTACCTGCTTAAAACTGTCTCTTTGGCTTAGAAAGTTGGCCATACCATGAAGATAATATAGCTCCAGAGCTTCCATGCTGATGTTAAACAGTTCAAGGCTGCACATCTCTATACTTAAACTCAGACCTTTCATGTAGCTCTTACAAAATTGTCATGGTTACAGGGGCTGGGACCAGTTTATCCTTATGTGGGTAGAACCAAAACTGTGTATTCTATACTCTCTATGTCAGTGCTCATGGGCTGTTAAGAAAATCATGGGTAGCAGCTGCCCAGGACAGACCTCACACCCCAGGCTATAACAGATAAGGAAAGAGGTTCAAGGTCAGGGGACATGTTAACACCTTCCCACCCAGCAAGGAGGAGTCCTCCCTGTTGATGGGCCCATCCATGCCTCGCCCCATGACTCATACAGAACTCCCCCCAGGAGCTATTTCTGTTTAATGGACCATCAAGGACCCACTGCATGACTCATAGACTGATATCAACCCATTGTGAGATGCTCCACCCAGGGGGAGGAGCCAAGTGCTCCCATCTGGATATAAACTGGGGTTCAGTACAGCACAGGGGGCCTTACCCACTGGATTTCCAGAGGACAAGAGCTACCAGATCTTTTCTACGAGACCACTGTTTCATCTGGACTGCTACCACCACCCTAACTACAGAGTATCAGGTTGTATTCTGACTCTGTTTGTGGTTTTCCTTTGTATTATTGCCTTTTTTTTTTGCCTTTTTTTTTTTTTTTTTTCTTATTAAATTGTATTTCTGACTTGGAGTCTCTCACTGGTTTGTTTTCAAACCATTACAAAAATATACACATATAAGCTTTAAATCATATATATAAGTTAAAGTCTGAGACTTCTAGATAGCTCAGGTGCCTTTGGCAATAGGTCAACCACGTGAAGAAAAAGTGCTTCTGTTTTACCAGTGGTGAAACTAAAAAATAGAAAGATGATCACTATCACCACTGAGCAAAATGCATTAATATTTTTTTTAGGTTTCAGAAGCCCACTGAGTATGCATGTAAACCAGAAAGTGGTGACATAAAGATGCTATTAAACACAGGAAAAAAAAATTTCTATCCACTATTTTTTTAAAAAGAGCAGAATGAGATACAACAAGACTTAAGGATTCCACAATCACATAAAAACTCATAGTATAAGATTTTCCTCCCACATACTTGTTACATTTCAAACTTAACCGTCACTGAATCAGCTGACATTCTCTATCAATCCCATGTCTCTTAGGTGCTGAAAGACAACTGACGAGTAGACCATAAATAAATACCATGTGATTACAGAAAGCACTTCCAGTTTACAACTCAAATACGTCTATCACTCCCATTTTTATCATTCTGAGCAATCCAGATCAGGCCAGGCACTATAATGTTAAGATAATATAGCTGCTCTTCCTACACCTGAGCTAGAAATCTCATGGCTGGTATCATTTCAAGAAAGGAAAAGGAGCAGAAGTCACCCATAAGTAGAAATACTGGAGACAGTGTTCATTACAAGTTTGTGTTACATGGGTGACTGATCCTAATGTTTAAGGGTGCAGAAAGCTCTGACTGAAGTAATTTCTGTAATAAGATAACATACAAGTTCTCTCCCTTTTTCTGGTCATTATCCAAGAACATGCCAACTCATGCACTCTTTCTTTTACCAAGTTACATGCTGAGTTTTTCATAATTTTCTACGATCTTAATTATCTGTGCTAAGTTCTTCTCACCAGTGAAACAAGCGTAAAGGTTTGAAAGTGCTATGAAGACGGGCAAATCACACAGCATGGTCGTACAGTTCACTTTCAGAAGTTACCAGGAGTAGGAAGAAAAAACTTGGGTTGTTTTTTCTCCACAACATGTAGTAGCACACATGATGAGAAAGAAGGAAACAAAAGTAACTATGGCATTGGGACTATCCATTCTACTCACATAATAAGGTTCAGCTTCCCTTTCAGTTATCTCATCCTGATAGAGCGTGAAGCAGGTTGGTATTCGTCCAAACCACACATCTCGAAGCACATCTTTGTCATCTGTCATTCTTCCAATGGATAGTGAAGCACATGTAGATCAGTTTGATTCTTCAGCTACAACTGTAAGCCCCTCCCCCCAAAAAAAAAGAAGTCAGCACACCTGCCAGTAAGATACACCTTGTTAAGGGCTCTCACATAACTATGCTCCTTGAAACGCGACCAACGCTGTCACCGAGACGCTGAAGGCATCAGTTTGTACACAGTAGGGGACGAGTTGAGACACTCCCAACTACAGACACAGCGGCTGACAAGCCCAAGTGCATCTACTAAGCCTGAATCAGCCGCAGAGGTAAAGGGACCCTTCCCGTCACGGCGTGGCAGCCACCCCGCGGCGCCCGCACCCCCCGAGGCCCGGCTTCACCGCGGGGAGCGGTGCCGGA